AAACGGGACATAACCATCTGGCCTGGCGCAGAGCCACCGCAACACAAATCGCGTAAAGCCGGCAGCCCTACCTCGCTAAGTATCCCGCCCCTACCGCCAGTCTACTGTTAACGTACAAATTGTAGAGCATAAAACTGGCTTAGATGATATTGAGAGTGTGAATTTATACTATTCAAATTTTATTTCTGCGTTCATGTAGACTAAATATTCACGAATATTCACCTAATTCAGATGGAACCGTTTCTTACATAAATACAGATGTCATAATATTGAGGAAAATACAATATCTGATGGGCGGATGAATATCTAAAGTCCAAATATAGCCTTAGTGAGACTCATTCGCTGCGGTTTGGCGCAATCAACGTAAACGTCATTGTATTAGTATACAATGTGGTTGTCGGAGTCAACGTAGTCAGGTTTTGAAGCCGTTTGCTCAAATATGTAACAAAGACCGCTGGAAAGTGAGAAACTCCCAAATACATTGTAATTGTTGATTGTTGCGCCAACGTCTCAACACAAAATATGAACATAAGAAACACATCTCCATATCTAGTCAGATGGCATATCTGATATCCCTTGTAAGTAGCATCTTTCCTAATAGCTATATATGTATATAAAATAGATATATGTTTTCGTAGGCTACTGTGTATAACTGCTTTTTGTCCAATTCCATGCAACTACGCTGTCATACATACCCACTCCAGTCTCTCATCCAATGGTAATGGTGACCGTACATTTGAACCCACGTACATTTGAACCATGTACATTTGAATCCATGCGTCTATCCGCGGGTTCAATCCAGAGAGAGAGAGAGAGTTTATTTCATTTTGTCAAACCAAGAAAACAATTTATGCACACATAAACAAATATCAAAAAATAATAGTTCTCGGTATATGACTCTGGGGCAACGATACGACCTTTGGGGGTCATCAGAGTCAGTTGCCACCCAATTATATTGAATAAGCATAAAAATTAACAGGTTCGTGTCAATATATCAATGTCTCTCACGATTTATACTATGTACAATATTTACATGAATTTACTATTTTCAATTATGGAAGCATTCATTTAAATAATTGGATTTTGCACAAATTGAAATTATATTGCAAAATGTAAAATTATCGAAACGAAAAGAAGTGGGAAAGCAGGTCAGACAAGCTACCCCTTATTTGGGTGACTTGTTTTATTGAATGAATTTAAGTTAAACATATCAAGTGGGATTTTGAACAAGCAAAATGGGTTAGAGTTCTATTCTACTATACACACACTAGTGCAATGTAATCAGAAGCATGGGTTGAGTCGTCAAAACAAATTAGAATTTGGTTTAAACAACAAAAAAATGCATTTCAAAAATGCAATACATTGTAACTTTTGTATAAACAAACAATCGATATTAAAATATCAAGAAAGTTAAAACACAACAGTTGACCTAATGTAGGAATAAATAGGATGCAATATTTCATAACACTATGTGAAATGATTTAGAACATTTTAAAAATAAACATCAAATATTAGTGTTTGTACATAGAAATAGAACAATTCATTAATCAAGGCCATTTATCCAGATTTTTACACTAATTGGTAGTAAATGGATTAATTTATCATAGATTGGCCAGGGATCTCAATAGAGAAGTATTGAGATATCGTTGGTAGGTCAAAGGTTGATGAAAACGAGCTATTAACTTAGCATATTAACTTCATAAGATAGAAAAATTGAATGGAACATTTTATTACACAATTAGGAACTCTTTTACATGAGAGCATTTAATAATAGCAATCAAAAAATAAATCATATAAAGAGCTCATGTCAACAAGGAAATATCATGAATGCATAAAAGCTTGCCATATTAAATTTATAATCTAGAAAAAGAGAATGTAACATTTTGTAATATGATTTGGGACACTTCAAATGTTAATTGGTCCAGTTATTGAGCTATTTTTCCTGGGGATTCGATGAGATATTGATAAGTCCAACCTTTCGACAGTGATGCCTGACAATTTTCCTATGTGCACAATAATTTTGTCTGTATCTTCACGTTCAGTATAGGGAATACCATGGAACTCCAGGTTCTCCCTACGTACATACTGTGCGAGATCGTCAAATTCATGGTCAACCCGTTGCTGCAGGGAAAGGCACATGTTCAGCAGGCTTGCATTGCTTGCGGTCAGATCTTTTACCATTTGGTCTAGTTTGGCTATATAGTCTTTCTGAATTTCGAATTCAGCATTTATGAATTCCTGACTGGCCTGCACAGCACAGATATTAGTATGTAGATTTGAATGGTCTACGCGAATACAATCCAGATCTTTTGATAGCTTAGCAAATTTTTGAACCAGCTCGTCACTCTGTTTGAACATGGCTTCCAGTTTTTCAGTCAATTGCTGAGTGTTATTTAAAACAGACTCATTAATTTGAGTAGACATTCTTTTGTCGTGCTCACTAATAGAGTCTTTTAGTAAATCCCTGATACTGTCTTCCACGATTGCTTTAATTTCCAGTTTCAAATTTTTGGTGATGTGAGCTTCCATAAGGTCCAATTTAGATGACAATTGATTGAATTTTCCTTCCATTTTCAGAGTTTAGTTTTAGTTTCTGTAACCATAATATTAGCATACACAACGAACCTGTCAAAACTTAATCAAAACAGCAATAATGTAATCAAAACAGCAATAATCCATATGCGGGTGCTTAAACCCATGGGTTAGGGTTAGTAAGGGTTTAAATATCCGTAAAACAAAAAAAACTCTCATAGGTGCAATAGTATGCCGGTGCAATTGTCGTGGGTTCAGATGTACGTGGTTCAAATGTACGGTGGTTCAAATGTACACGGGTTCAAATGTAATGGAACCAATGGTAATATCACGCCCCTCCAACAATTATTTTGATTTTGACCTACTATTCCTGAAGCATAAAACTTTTGCCCTTTATTCGTTTCAATTTTCTCAACCATCCGGTTTGTTCTCATATCGTCAGGTTCCAATTTGGCAGTAATACGTGTTTTGTACATACCAAAAAATCCTTTGAGAAATGTAAATTCTCTAAATGTGAAAAAATGGCATCTATAGTTACATTTCAAATTAATGCTAATAAAACAATTTAGTGTTATTACTAGTCCTACAGTACGTTTTGATGAATCCGCTTTCAACCTTGCTGGGATGTCAGTGAAAATAGTGACTCCAGCAAATAAGCGAAGAAGTAAATGTACCACTATGATAAAGTTCAGCTGATGAGGGAAGTTAGCAAGGTCATTCCATTAACCAGGAAATATAATATCCTGCTAAAGACCGTCAGTATGAATCGTAAACGGGGAACGAACCAATTTAATACGGATAAACGGATACGAATGTCGAGAATCCAATCCAACTTTCGTGTAACGTAGTGTGACGATCCTTGTTTCATCTTTCAAATGATGTCATGTGATAATATTGCTATATTTTGTATTTTCAACACTGACGACCCTGAAGGCGCTGTGACACTGTCGATCTGTTTTTTGGTATCCTGTTAGCCTATGCTGTGGTTTGCAGTAGTGCAGTTGTGATTGTTTCAGATAGATTTTGAGTGTTTAAGGGTATTTTATATCTGTAAAAGTGCCTCTAAGTCTCAAGTAGGTTATCAAAGATGTTTTCTCTTGGTTTTATGACTATTAGATTGGGATTGTTAGATATTTTGATGCTAGACAGTAGGATGATATTATTGTTTTAGTACCGGTACAGTGCAATTACAGTTGTTTTGGCGTTGTATTTTTAGTCTATTCATGAAATTGGCTATCAACAGTGCTGTTCAAATCTTGTGCACCTGTGGAATTGTTTGTGGTTTTTTTTTAAATGCCCGTCATGGGTTATTCTCAGCCTATTTTGCGAATTGTAAGTATCTGGTTTAGTGTACCGGATTATAGGGGTTATTTTGGCTGCTATTGAAAGTTGTCTTCGATTTCAGAGTCCGTCTTTAATTTTTATTGTTTTTCTCATACTGTACTGCCTGGTATTTGTTATTTTTATCGTATGCTTTTCGTTTCATTGATTTTATTGGGGTATTTGGTTGTATTAAATAGAACAAAATAGTATAAATTGAAGTGAATAATGGGAGGAAACTTGACGTCAGATCATATTGGAAGATATTCTGAACTTGGATAATTATTACATAGACTGCCGGTACGCTACAGTAGCATACTCAATTATTTCGTTACATATCTATTCCAAAAATGAGAGTAACTAGACGATTCCTCACTTATTCCTCGGGCCTTATCCAGATTACCAATACGCATACGTAAATATTTATCTCGAGATGGTCGATGTACCATTAATACATCTGGGCAGTTTCTCTGGCGATTATTTATTAAACCTGTTTGGCCGAATTCGTAAAAGTACTATTAATATTAAAGGCTCAAAACTAGCATTACCAATTATAACATATTTTCCATCGACCAAATGGAAGCTCACCGCCTATGGATATCATAATGTTGATGTTTGTTTCAACTACCTTCCCTCGTTGTCGACGGGAAGATTTGTCGTCTCATCTGATTAGCCGATTGTTTTAATCTATTGCACTTCTACGACTCCACAGCGTTACAGATCGCTCTAAGGTTAAACGGGGTACTAGCTAGGTTAACTAACGACCAAATTGTCAGGTCTTCCGTCCATCTCGCCCGATTCCCAGTTCGTATGTTTGCTGTGACTGTGAGAATAACTAGCCAGGTGTGTACAGTTGTGCTCATTTTCATCCACTGATTTGTACTTTGTGATACGATTAGAGAACGTCCTTCTGTAATTTCTGAATTCAATTACTAATGTGCGTATTCGTATCCGACTGAATTATTCTAAAGACTAAACTGTGATACAAGTACGCCATGAATGTTGTTGATTATTTTATATAAACAGACCGTTTGATTGCAACATTGGGGATTGCGCATAAGCTTAGCAAGACAACTTTGTTTTCCAGGTGTCACCTGATCGGGGATACCAAGTGAAATCTATCTTACCTACGGCACAGTCAATTTTGGTAGAGTGCTTTGTAATTTCATCATTTTATTGCTTAATAATATTTTTAAATAAGTACCGGTAGACAGCGAGCGTATGTTAATACAGATCACTAAAACCATTGTAAATCTTTGAACTTTCAAATCCAAAAAAGCAAGTATTACAGATTACGGCTGGTTTAAATAATAATAGAACAATAGTGTTCAATGCAAATTAAACATTATATCGCACAGTACATAACGAAAAAAAAAATAAGAAGGAACAACGAAAGGCAGGAAAAAGAGATTGAAACAAAAGCAAATATAATAGTAAAATCTATTTCATCAAAAAATCAATCAAAGTGGTAGGAAACTGGCAATGACGTTAATATTAAATGGGATTTATTCCAATCTTCTAGTTGCCTTACGATATTGAAGGTTATAATTCCGTCGCAATAGTTCGCCTACAAGAAGGCGTTCCCCGTTGGGATAGAGGGCCAGGCATTGACATTGGCACATTAGTATTATGAGCAAAATTTTGGTTTGACGTTGTAGGCTTTAGAGAAGCGTTATAATAAGGATGTTGTTGTAGCGTGGGAGTCCCAGCAGAGGGTGCGAATTCCACAGAATCATAATGTATCGCTGATGCACTGGGTGGCACACGATGTTGATACGGGATTTGTGCTTGATATTGGCCACGACTACCATCTTGATATACCAAATTCATTCTAGTATCGCCAATGTTGTCGTGCGATTGGTTTGTCTCCCGACTGAGATGAGGCAAGTGTTCAGGATATCGAACGTCTTGTTGATAATGATACTGGTTCAGATTAGACTGCGGCTGGTACGAATGGGAGCCCTGAAACTCGTGTTGGACCAACGATGGAGAAGGAGAACGACTTGTTCTGCTGTTATTATTATTTGAATTGCTGAAATTTGATGCTGAATTTACTCGGGGGCGGCGCATCGGTCCGGAATTTCCATTATGACGTTCGCCAGGAATCTTCAAAGTATTTTCTACTGATTCGCTGATTGAATTTCTGGAAAGAAAGGTCAAGATTACCTTACACGATGATTTTGAAGTTGATCAGATAGTTTATATAACCGATTTATTTTACTATACATATCTTGATTTCTCAATAATAATAAAGAAGGTAAAAATTTGAATATCCATAAATATCGGGTTATATGTCTGTTAGAACTGCAATAAAATTGAAATAACTTTAGTAACGTCGTTCAGTTATTAGAATATACTTTGTTATGCGTTTCCATAAACAATTATACCCCGTTTGATAAAAGTTTATACAAATTTTTTCAGACGCTTACCTGTTACCACATTTATTAATTTCTTCCCTTATTCTTTCCAATAGCTTTGCGATTTCCTTTTTGTTGTGGGGTGGAGCGTTTGCCTCAGCTTCTTCAACATCACGCAGAGCTGCACTCAAGCGCGAGGTCTCCCTGCGAACGCGAGCACGCACGTAAAGTGCTTCGTACCATTGGGGTTTCAGCTGCAACGCCCTTGTCGCCGCTATTTCAGCTGCAATTACGAAAATATTATTACAATAAATGAAAACTTCTTTCGGCATGTTTGTGCATTACGATGGTCATTCCAGGTATGAACTATCCTAAATAGATCTATCATAACAATATAACTATAAAATAATCTTGATCATCCGTCGTTTGTATACATACAGCAAACCTCACCTATTTCAAGATCCATTAGTTTTCTACCGCATCGCGCGAGCCCCAATAGCAGAACAGAGACAAACTCTCCCAAAGTGCCATGTGTGGGGCTTGTACTGCTTTCATACACATTCTTTCCGGATGTTATGGGCTCACCCATGTAGGTAAGTGCAGAGAAATAGACGTCTCTCGCTTCAGAGAATTTTTCAGCTTTGTACAAAAAATTTGCATCTTCTATGTTTTTTTCTGTAGAAAAATAACATAGTTGAACATTAGTAATATCTCAAACACAATTCTGGATAATTGAGGATGTCAAAAAATAGAATTCATAGGAGGATATATATGGAGAGAATATAGTTTTACCTAGAAGCGCGGCTAACATTTCTGGGTTATCTCCTGCAATTTTCCAAGTTGTGCCACTGATGACGGCGCCACGTTTAAGAAGAAGTGTTGCCACTGGTACGTTCTTGCTGTGAACTGCTCGGTCAAGAGCGGATGTGCCGTTATGATTGTCGTTGCTTTGTCCAAAATCTGCTCCAGAGTTAAGAAGTAGATCCACTACTTGCTCATTTCCTGAAAACGCCGCCAAGTCCAACGGCGTGCGCCCGTGACGGTCGGGATGGCGAACGTCTGACCCTCGTTCTATTAGAGATCTGACACAGTGAAGTTGACCTAAAATAATTTTAAAAATGATTAGCCAAATTACATCGTTATTCTCATTGTGGTAATCAAAGTTTTTTTTTTATTGTTTAAAATCGTCCAAAGGGATAGTTTGCCCACCTTTCGAAGCTGCCCATCCCAAAGCGGTAAGTCCTTCTTTGTCAACTGAATGAACATTCGCACCTGAAAGAAGAAATGACAATGCCTTACAGAAAAGGTTACACAGCATGGTGTATAAAACAATAGATTAAGTCACAGAAATCTTCCCTGTAATTGTTCTGATTCAAGAAATATGTAAAAAATGAACTCAATTGCCTACCTCTGGACAGTAGTAGCTCGGCGATACCGACATTGCCACCAGACGCAGCTATGACAAGAGGTGTTCGACCCGCGTAATCGGCACCTTCCAAAGCTGCTCCCATACTCAAAATTAATTCCGTTGTCTCCCATTGATTCTGAAGTATGAATAAGATAAAACAATTAGATTGGGTTTTTACAAAACTTTTATATAGGAAGAAATGGAAATTAGCCACGTACTTGTTTGACAGCACACATAAGTGGTGTCATTCCATCTTTGTTGCGAAGTTCAATACTGGCATGTCGTTCGCGAATCAGGTACTCGCATATTGCCACTTTACCCCTGGAAGCGGCGGCAGTCAGTGATGATTCGCCCCTGTTGGGGTCGACGCTGTCGGGATCGCAGTGCAGAGCAGGGTCAGGGTGGTCAAGAAGATATTCCAAGAGCTGTAATATCAAGGCATAAAATTCTAATTATTTTTGTATATCAGGAAATTCCCGAGAGAACGAAGCTGTGAAGAAATTTAAATAAGAATTCCAAAACGCAACATAAATCCTAAAATTTCCATTCAATTAATACAATAAATAATAAATTTTCAGATATTTTAGTATTTTAGAAATATACATGGGAATGTATAGTAGTTACCCGTCTATTTCCAGTTGTCGCGGCCGCGATAAGAGCTTGAAGAGCAGAAAATTTTCTTTGCTCCGGTGAAACGTACAAATCACAAGTAAGAAGAGTAACGGCAACTTTGATATGATCACGAGATATGGAATGTAAAAGAGGACTATGTCCGTTTTTATCCACAAGATCCAACTGAAAAATATAAGTTTATTCCTATAAATTAATTTGCCAATATACTTGTGTCAATCTCGTGCAAGTCTAACATGATATACCATAAGTTGTTGATCACCAAATATTACCCACGAGGCGATTTTCTGCAACTCAGAATGTTCAATATACCATAAAACCAACATCCAAATTAAAATTAGATCATTGGTCATGCAATTTGTAAACAAGTAATGTTTTACCACAATTATTTTCGTGTGCATATCTAATTGTTCAGAACATGTTGAGCAATTTTGATTAAAATAATGAGAAATAAAAACAAAATATATAATACGTACTCTTGGTTTCCGTCTTAGTAGTATTTCCACAACGATCTGATGTCCAGCTGCTGCTGCGTATGCCAGGCATGTCATACCGTTTGTTGCCGCCATATTAATATTGGCGCCGTGCATCAGAAGCAATTCAACAAACTCGATACTTCCTGAATATCAAAAAGACGAGTTACATCACATATAATTATTATGGTAGTTCATTAATTCGATTTGCCCGAATATCATAACCTCTTGGAGAAACGAAAGAATCGACGAAACATACCTATATGAGCAGCAGCGCATATGACAGGTGCATCACAGAGAACTTGCGATTTTGTATTCGGATTCGCCCCGCTGGTGAGCAACAACTTTGAAACCTTTAAAACGACACAAAATAATTTGTATTGTAAATTACACAACGTGTCATACAAAAGACGGATTGAAAATCTTTACCTTTATATTCGGGAAAAACAAATTTCTCACTGTTGCCAGGCTTTCATTTAGATGGCCGCTGCACTGCGCCATCCATATTGCATGTAGATCGTTTGAGTTCATGCCTGTGAAGAAGCAAAACAATCTATCATAATTTTTTCGATAGTTTCATGCATTTTTACGGCAGATTGTTTAATCCTGGGAAAGTATTTGCAACCCCGACTTGACAAAACGAAAAAAATCTCACCGGTAGTTTTTGACTGTCCTCTAAACATTCTTGCTTTTAGTAAATGATGAGCAAGTTCCAAAGTAGCGTGTTCATTCAACCTTGCAGGCGGTTGCCTTGACAACAGTGTGGCCAATAGAGAGTGTCCACGTTTGGGATCAACAGAGAACTTTTTCGACGAAGAGTCTGAATTTAATTTGAGAAATTTAAAACAATGAAAACAATTCTGTGTCTGCAATTATGCAATGCAGTAACAACTTACAAGTTGCCATTTGGTTGTCTTCCGCGTTTCCGTGTTGGATCAACCATTCCCGGAAGCATGAGTGAATGAACGATCTTCTATTGTCGTAATAACGTAGTGGAAGGAAAGTGGATACTGACTCAATCAAATGCCGGAAATCTTCAGGGGAAAGTTCATTTGCTACATAACCAGCAGCCAAAGTCTGAAGAATAAAAAACTATTTTATTATACAGTTGGTAGTTAATTTTTATCCTTATTGAAATTAGTTTCATGAGGATAAATATATTACCTGATAAATTTGTTCATCTTTTAAAGGATAAAGCGAAGCTATTGCAATTGCCATAATGTCTCTCACTCTTACAAACGATGAAGCGTTAGTAAACTTTAGATTGCACATTAGCAGAAACACTTCGCTGACGTTAACCGGAATAACCTTGAACCCGGAACTCTTTGGCACCAACTTTCCGCTTTCAATGAGGTCAAGGGTCAGTCGAAGGTATAGCATATTACCATCGCATTTCGACAACAAGTGTGTCGTAAGCAACTTTTGTGTTGTGGCAGCGTCTGGTTTTCCTGCAAAAGGATTTTTTCATTTATATAACGTTCCAACTCCACTGTGCTTTTTTTTTATCAAAATAAACGTAAAGTTACCCATGAGAGTCAAATTGCTCAAGTATTTCGACTGGGCCATTCGATGACATATATATGATTGGAGATCACGAGTTACATCGGTTTTGTTAGATTCCAAGTCAATCGACAACTCAAACAAGGGAACTTTTTCCATTACAGCCTGCGAAATAATGAGGTATTAGAGAAATAGATAATTAACAGTAGATTATAGTACAAGATAAATAGAGTGAATAAACTAAACAAAACAAACCTTATCCTGTGTGCGACAAGTTACAACTAGTTTCAAAAAGTCTGGAAAATCTGGCAAGTACCGATGAAGAAATGTAAAGATGGAGTAGCCATGGTCTGGTCTGTGTTGTTCAGCTTCGCCAAGTCCGTCCAATAATATTATAAGATTGATGCGAGGCAATTTACGTGCTGAAATATATATTCAAATTATTTCAAATCGTTTGAGCAAAATCTGTAGCTGTAAAGAGATACCAAGTTATCACATAACCAAGTAAAGCAATTTTTTTTAATATTTGGGCATTTTTCAATTAAAATTGACAATTTGGATCACAAAACAATGGATATTTGGAAAAGTTCGCTCACCTTGCCTCAGGGCCGCCAATGGCTCTAATACAGCCTTAACCAAGGCATGGCCAGGATTTTGTATGCAATTTCTCAAGCTCAGAAGATTCTGCAAATTCGGTTCTTCAAGCAATAACTCCCTGTAAAATAATTAAATATTAGACTATTTGAATATTTATATGATAACAGGTTTTCGTAAACACATTTTGAAAGGTGGGTGGTTGAGGACTAATTTCTTTTTCTTACCTATATGCTGTAAGTTGAGGGGCATGAACCAATTGTGCAGCTACTGAGTGCAAAAATTCTGGAACGTAGCATGTTGTATTGTTATCAGCTTGACAGTAATGAAATGCAACAACTTGAGAGGAAAGTCTTTTTTGGGCTTCTTCCCCACTTAATGAAGTTTGACTTCCGCTCCGACTTCCGGGTTTATTATTAATATTTCCGTTGCCAGAATTACCAAGAGCGGGACTGGCCGTCCTACTGGAGTTGTTAGAATGATTGATAGCGTGACGATGTAAGCGGGGACTCCCAGACCGCGACGATGCGTTCATACTTCCAACTCTATGAAGTGATTCTGAAAGAAAAATTTCCTTATAAGCAAGATAATAAAATAATTAATAATCGATAGCAACACTAAATACTGAATATTAGATAATCCAATACAAAAGATTTCTTGAACTCATTCTAAAGTGAAATTTTTTTTAATATCGGTGTTGTTATTACAAGCTACTAACTCACCGTGCTCCGGTTTACTTAGAGTCGTGTTACTTCCGGCATATCCCGATTTTTTATTGCCATGGTAACTTAATGTCTCCAAATGGTGTATGATTGCTGTTTTTCCTGTACCTTCACTTCCATAAATAATCTAAAAGGGAAGGATTTAAAGAGTGATAATGTCAATCAACAATAAAAATAAAGCAAGAAAATGAATATTCCAGAACATTACCAGGAACCCAGTTGTGAAATGCTTCACCACAAAGTATGAACTTCGAATTATTAATATAATACTACTCACCACGCCCTTGTTGATTTTGGAGTTTGCGGTATTCAAAAGGTTCGTGATTTCTCCAAAGAGCCATTCACGGCCGACAAATTTTTGTTCCGAAGTTACAACCGATGGTAAATCAAATTGCAATGACTGCAAACCGGTATTTGATTGCCTGTAAGCTGGACCCATTCTTATAGCTGTAAACAAAACAAGAGGATAAATTAAACTGAATGGTGAAAATTTCAAATATTGAATTATAATATATATGCTGTGTTGTGCGTTTTCGAAATCCAGTGTTCACGTCGATTACAGAAAAAAAATTGAACGCTATATAAATCGCACGTTGTTGTTCTGGGTTCAACTGATTTCATAGATGCTAAACTTACATCTCATATCACTCGTAGATGAAGCGTTACTCAATGGTTGTCTTCTTTCGTTGGAACGAGTTGACGATCTACTGTCAACACGACGATGAAAGCCGCTGTTGTCGAAACTTGCACTGAAATAAAATACATGTAAATATTAGGAAAAAATTAAACATGAGGCTTTACGAGCTATTTTTACCAACTCACGGGCAAAAGAACTTACGACTTACCTAGGTCGATGAAGCAAACTTTGCACAATCGGATTTGTTGCCGGAGCTGACAAAGAATGTGGACGTGCTTCGTCCCAAAGTTGTGGCCCAGCGTAAGATGAATTACTTGAACTTTGTCTGCTGTGAGATATGCTGCTTCTGTCTAACTCCATGGCTGACATACTTGATACTAACTGATTGTGTATCATGACCTCATCTGGATGACGCGGCCTGCAATAATCAAGGACAACATGTTTAGACATGAATCGTGACATTCCGTGATTTTATTGCATTTAATTCATGAATTTTGATGAAATCTTCTCCCATTTCCACCACGAAAAATTAGGTATCGATTTACATGTTTATCAAAAAAATTCAGGTAAATGTGCTTATCCTAACTTACCAGTTCTGCATTGGCAATCTTGGATCGTCGTGTGGGCTCGGCGTAGACCTAACCATGCCTGAAGATGCTCGCAACCTTTGTATCATGTTTGGGGTTCTTGGGTCATAACCAGGTGCATATTGTTGAGCGCTTGATCGTATCATCAATGTTTGTGGCGTCATTTGTTGCGGGTGTCCAATCCCAGGTCTACTGTTGATCGGAGGCTTTCCTGTGACGCGAGAATGATGCAAAAAGTTATTGTTTTCTTCTCTATATTGTTGGCAGTGAATGTCGTTTAATAGTGTTCTGTCACTTGATGATGCTCGTGAGTGATTACTAGCGATGTCATCCTGAATCGGTGGGGGAGGTGGAGGTGGCGGAAGATCGTTTCTGTAATTGTCTTCGTAATATTCTCCTGAAGGAGGTGGCGGTGGAGGTGGTGGGAGTGGTTCCGAATCAAAGATCTAAATGAATAATGCATTTTATAGAAGATTTTTCTTAAACATTTCTTCAGGAGAAAATGAAACTAAAGAAAAATACTTACAGCAGTCCCATTTGATTGGGAAGAAAGTGAACGCTTCATCAGCTTATAATTTGCAATTTCGCACACTGATGCAGCTGGTGTAATAGATCTGGACGACGATAGACTTGAGTGAATTGATGGTTCTTTTGAATTCGGTGGAGAGTCTAGGCAGAGCTGCGGTAACTTCATAACATCAGATGCCGAGTTTACTGTTTTAAAAATAATCACCATTATTGTACCTATAGATACGGGTAATCGCTTTTCTAGTCATTATAGTAGTTAGAAGCCTATAAATGACCAGAACATAATTATATACCTCTCTCCCTTGAAGGATCAGTTGACTTTTCCCCGTTCCTACGGATTCTTCCTGCTGATGGGATGCGTGGTCTGAAACCAGTTGATGTTTGAAACTGTTGATTATTCCCGTTGTTACGTCGTGGATCAACGTTCCAAAGTTTCTCTTCGTATTGTTCTGCAAGTCTCGGTTTTGAAACGTCGGCGCTGTAAATCATTTCATTGTCAAAATAGTATATACTAAGATATCAGTCCATTACAGCATTATATTAAGATATAATAATCTAATCTTACGTATTGTCTGTGTATAAAATCTCTGACGAACTTCTTGAATGACTCGGAATTCCACTGTCACTTCTAGAATGCGATACAATATCTGTTGTGCGGGAATCTAATGATCCAGTCCGGTTTGCAGAAATGCCGGATTCTGCAAGCGTTGAGAGATTACTGCGAAATTCAGAGTCGAATGAGCCAACACTGCTGCCTGTAAGTAAATTATTCAGACGATAAACTAAAAGAATACGAAAGGAAGACTATTTATAAAATCTGGTTGACACCAACACCGAGAAAGATGGATAGCGCCTGTCTAGTTATATAGAATGCTTTACTTACCAATTCCCTTATCTGATAATGTTGAGGCCGGGCTCGTTGTGTAGTTCGCTGCTCTCTTTCTTCTTTCGTAACTTGCGTATGAAATAGTGTTGCTGTGGTTGTGATGGCTCAGTATTGGGTGAATATGTGTTTGTGTTTTCACTGTACTCACTCTATATTGGTATAAAGGACATGGTCAAATTACTATCATCGTGCTGATTCAATATTAAGCATTGCGCAAGTGATGCCACAAATGACTTCAAGCACAAATTTTGTAATAACGCAACAACTCTATTTGAATAGATTATTCATTTTTTGGAATCAAAAGTTGTTCGAATAGTTCATGTGGAAATATATATCGCATACAAATGTTTTACTATTCATTACCTGTGGTCTCCCAATAGCAATCCCAACCGAGTCATCAAAGCTTGATCCTCGATAGATGGCGCTTCAGCACTTTGTTTTGTCGTCTGCTTGCTCATATCACGTGATTCTGAAAAAAATTAGAAATTTTGTAGGACTCCGCTATCGCTAATGGGTCACATTTATTTTAAAATAATATAATACAAACAATTAACTAGTAAAAAGTTAAGAGTTATTATAGATCGACCTCGAAACAACATTCTTCAAAGATTTAATGATGCGCCATCGACGTCCACCGTGGGAAAAATTGTATTTCGGAAGCAATGCTGACCCGACAGGCCCGAAGGTTCCCGGGAGAGAGATAAATTGCTATGATAGTATAATACTAAGTAATATATTTATTTTATCCTTCTTTTGCACATTCCATTACCGGAATAAATAACCAACAACGATATAACTTTCTGGAAGCGCTCCTACAGCTCTGTCGGCCCTTGTTATGACACTACAGTTGGCTATAAAACATCGATGGTTCATAAGATAAACGCATTTTCCCACTACTATTGTGTAATTAATGTTCACGGATTTATATAAATTTTGAATATTCAATAATATATTTTTATAACACGGCTTTTATATAAAAAAAATACGAATACAAGCCACCGAATGTGAATACTTACTTTTATACTTGAACTTTTTAAGCTTCATTGTATTTTCTATGAATCTACAGTAATCAGTACAATGTCGTAAATTAGTTACGCTAAAACAACGATCTGCAACGAAGTCGAAATGCTAATGGCGATTTATACTAATGTAGGAAAGCTTTTTAGATTTGAATCGATACTCTTGAGCCCCAAGTAGAAGCACAAAGTCAAGCACTTGACAGGCGTCTGTGTTTCATCACCGCAAACCTGGCACATTCAAGTGCTTTCACCATGGCAACTACATAATAACTCAGTTATTACACCGCCGCGAGCATTGCTGCAACTCCGTTACTCCATGTGTCGATTAGGTTTGTTTCCAAATTAATTTGGCCTAATGATAAATCCTCCCATTAAAATCTCATTAACTTTTTATTTTAATAAAGCGTGTGACGTGCGTAAGTGCGCAAATTAACCAGGTCGTCTACCGAATCAGCTCCCCTAAGTCTATATCCAGCTTGAAATTCTGGCATCGAACCATATGTATTTTACTTTTGATGATATCTTTAAACTACGGTAATAAATATGTATCTATTTTATCGAAATTATTCTGCTGCAAAATTTCGTTGCTGAATATGATGTGATTGGCATTCAAGCGATAACTAAACCCTGGTTTGACTTTGGCTTGCTTTCTTGGCAGCAGTCTGCCGCAACCTGCCATAAAGGAATGCACCCTAATCTGGCTATGCTCGATTGAAAGCGTATGCTTCCCCAAAAAGGCGCCGTTCGTACCCCGAGCTGTCATCTGCGGTTTTTGATACACCAACTTTTAAAATTTTCATCTGCAACTTTCCAGGTTATGCTCAAGCCGTACCTCTAACTTGTGTTACGCTCACGATCTGAGGATGATTAGATCTACAACTGTCTATGTACCTCATCGCCGACGATCTACTGAAGACCGAAGACAGACTAACCTTAGATATAACGTCTGGTATGCGGGGTATCTGTCGGTACAAAAAATGCGTTGCACGGTAATTCGTTAGCCTACATAACAATACAGGCTGTAATATTTTGAATTAGGAATGAATTTATCCTACATAGTGCTTTGTTAATGTCTCGATCTTAAGAACGGGGAGGTGATTGAGTTCACAACACAAAATGAAATTTGAACGCGTTGAATATTTTAGCATTACGGCATAAGAACCCCGCTATGACACCGCGTGAACCAAAAAACAATGGCTCAGTGTGTTGTTACGGTTTAGCCACAGACTTGCAGGCAGGTTCAGGATCCACATACCAGAGAAAAAGTTTTTGAAGCGAGGCGTCTTTTATCCCGAAAACGCGTGATAGGATATATTACCCAATACATCGTATTCCTCGGCCTCTAACTAACGAATAAAATCTTCCGACAGCGCGCATAACAATATGAATACTACTATGAATAATTCCACTTAACAAGTATCCAACAATTGTATATTCGTTCGACTGTACGTGTTTTATTGCGCCATTTGAATAGTACGACACTTCATGAACACGCCCAATCAATAGGAATCGTATTTACGATCCTCTCGTGTTGATAAACCAGCATCGCGTCGTAGTTTCAAACGGCATGTTATCTATCTCAATTTCGTCATATCGAAATACAAATTTTGAATGCCCATCGTCGGACATCTTCAATTGATCGCGCACAAAACAAATATGAAAACAATATGTGCCGTAGCGGAAATCATTTTTGCTTGTTGACTCGACGATATTGGGAAATATTCCGAAATGAATATATCTTGTGATGGTAGGATATTCGTCTGCGATTGCCCCGACTCATTGGAACTAACGAGGTAGAAATCGGAAATATCTTCGCCGAATGCTAACTTTAGAAAAACAACGGTTTATTTTTAATTCAATTACATCCGAGATGAGCATCGCTTCGATTTTTTTTTCTTATAAATTTAACATATTCTACTGCATTGGTTAAGGTTCCTCCATGCTTCAAATTCTCGTCCATTTCGTGAAATTGATACTATCAACCACCAAATAGTTCTTAATTTATCATTGCGCCAGACGTCGTAATTTCCGCAAATTTCGACTGGTTGTTCAAATTCACAGGGTTAATCAACCCATTTAAAGTCTGTACTAGTCTGTAATGTATTTATACTATTTCACAATAAATCGTGGGTAATTTTTTGTACATTGAACAAATGCGCTAACAACAATAAATCAAAATCTCTACCTCGTCTGGTTATCGTATTTATGACTGATGAACAAACAGAAGATAATAGTTCGCACGCGCGACTCCTATTTTTAAAAAATCATAAGCAGTACGTCGTTTCCATTTATAAAATACACTCTTACATTTATTTACTACACTTTCTATGTTCTAGAAATTCAAATTTAGTCATCAAGGAATGTTGTATATAAATATAATTCAAAGCGTATACTTCTCATTTTCGATTTTTCGGAACCAAAACGCTAGGGTTCATTGAAAAATTTCCCAAATGACAATTTGAAGGAGAAAATATTTCATCCAAAATGGGGCGCACGTTATAAAATGAATTGCATCAGCCCTATCCTATTTCGAATTAGGGAAAAGGGGGCGAAATTTAAACAAAGGGTGAAAGCCAAATCGGAAAAGACGAAGTGCGTATGGTACCCAGATGTCTGGTTGCGGTAAAAAATAATAAATACCGTTTGCGAGGACCATACTTGCTTGCGAAATAATGACTAAAAATTTTCAGTCAAGAAGAGCGATGTCGAAATGGAATGCAGACAGACATGCTGGCCATTTCAATTTTTTGTGTTTATCAATAGCAATGCGTGATATCTGGGCCTATTTCAAGCGTAGATCGCTCAACGTGATATACTATTTTAGACTGAATGAGACAGGAGATCGCGATATCATGGAAGCAATCGTTTGATTGGCATTTAAATAGTCTGGTTGCGTGGGATTCATGTTTCACTCTGCCATGGCAAGAAGTCTTACAACTGTTAAACCTGTTAATGAATTACATGTGTTTGAGTTCCGTACGGTTTGTCGATATTCTGAGGTGTGTGACGCACGTAAAGTAAATAAAACTGGAATACGATATGAGAATATATATATCATAAATGGGGTAAACCATATGAAATAAGATTCTAATATATATGGCAAGAATCTGACATTTACGATTGCACAATAAAACTAATTGGTAACACCTTTACATGAAAGTGATTCGGACGAACTATAAATCGAACCATTCAACCTGAAACTAAGCTTGATCAAGCATAAAGCGTAAAGAGATCATTCCTTTTTGGGCATTTCCTTCTCGCATTGAAATTTTCTTATAAGGGTCGTACTAATAAATCTTAATGATTGTTTGAAAGTCGATAATTTTTCATGGAAAGTACTTTTGTTCAAAATCATCAGAACTGCCTGAATTAAACTTAAAATTATTTGCAAGTCTGAATTATAGTGTTTCACGATATAACCTATGTAGATCCAGATCGGCAATAATATCGTTCTTATGTATCAACCCTGCGGCATTCCAGTGTGTAATCTCTCCAAATACCCTTATTATCGATTTTATTTGAATTAATTACATCATTGTTATGGCAAAATCGATGGTACGATTGCATAGAATTCCCCCAGCTGCCTAGTTAATGCTCTATTAGTTAATTGTTATCGAAAGCAATTATAAATTTACCACGTCGAACTTGATACCAAAGTATAATAACAAATATATTGGTTTTATATTGCAACAATTATTTAATACCCACAGTACTAATTACGCTTGAACACAATGCATCAATTTATACCGTGAGTCATATAGTTAACTGATGGCGACATGGTTACATTTACGTATAATTAGATTTCATTTTTTAGTTTTTTTTACAGTTTTTATAGCCTTCCATTAATTCTAGCGTGATATCAGCTTTTGCATAAATTAGCCTACAATAAAGAGTCTCTGCAAATATGCAAATATTCAGATGGTGAATACGCAAATTTGTCTTTCTAGGTTACAGGTGACATAACAAGTAATTACAAATAAGCAATATCTTTCAAGTTGTTTATATCCTGGGCAATGATGCTAACATAATCAATAGAACTTTCGTTTCCTCTATTGTCAATTAATTTAAACAAACAGAAGCGAGGAAAGTACGTCATCATACTGAACTCTCTTTACATAAAAACTACCCATATTACCACATTACGTTAAGATACAATTGAATGCTCATTAATGCTTGATTGTTAGCAATACCACATACGCCCGTGAACATCTGCGGAAAATCCATCTTACATGCAGTTTCATAAAGAGCATTTGGACAATATGAAACACGATGTATGGACCATTTGTGGCATAACGTTCTTTATCGCACGTCTATTGCGTCATGTTTAATTTTAATCGTTTACGATTGACATGCTTTGATGAGGTGCAGGTAGCAACGATTGATAAACCGCTGTTTTTATGTAACCATGGTAACCCGGAATTCCGTGGTATCTACGCAAGGCAGCAAAGTTGATAAAATATCACAGCCGAATAGGTTTGGTCATGTTTATGATCCGTTTATATGTCGTTCTCGCTCAAATTTTGTACTTGAAATCGTCCGATTACGCAAAGCCTACATTTCCCAATTTTAATGGGTTTAAAAGCCAAATGCGAATTTTTAGAAACATTTTATTACCATGATATCATACGTGTCATTGACGGTAAGTTAAATGGTCAGGCAACCTGAGAGCACTGAAAGTGCGTATGCACAGTATGGATCAGAATTCGTTGCACGAAAGACTAAAGCTGGAAGTACATTAACAGCCGCCGCTGGTAAACACCATTTCCCAGAAAACTGGCGGGCCAATCGGGCCGAAACTTGGCATGTAGCGGGAGGTAGTTACCAAACGAACACAGAAAATTTTTGGGAGCGATCGGGCCAAAGGAAGTGGGCCAAAACGGGATTTTAGCGGCCCAAGGCTGCTGATTGGTCAATCGGCTGTCCATCAAGTCACGCAAGAGTGAGTTTGGGGTTTAGAGGCCGTTTAGCTGTGTTTCCGGGGTCAGAAAGCGTTTGCCCGAGTATTGGGAATTTTTCCAAGTATAATTGGGGGTGGGGGCAGTGCCACCACCCCCCCAGTGATGAGAAAACGTTTGGAAAGCCACGCCCACTTATGTAATATGGTTTTTGGGCTATTAGGAGCACTTGGAATTGGTTTTTGGGCAAAGTGATGCTTAAATCCCAAAGGGACTAATATATAGAATATTTCACCACCTTAATCTTGGGACTTCCCCCTCCCAATCGCACTCCAGTGGCGTAAGAAGGTTGCGCACATAAAAATGAAGCTATCGAGAAATAAAATAGATAGGTATGTTGGGAAAATTTAG